AAAAAAAAAGAATTATTGGAATCGGTACACGCGGTGCAAAGTTATGCAGTGGAATAAATAAAAGGAGTAAAAATACTCCGAAGATTGAAGTCGGTTGAAAATGTCTGAGTTCTTTGTAAATAAAATGCAATTTATGAAACTTTAAAAAGTTTATTTACTTATTTCATACTGTACATAAAACTTGCATAAATGTATTTTAAAGAGCGAATTTTCAGTATTTTCTGATGATATATATTTATAAGTATAATTCCCCCCCAAAAAATATATTCCTGCGTGCGTCCCTGGCGCTTAGTGTTTATTATTTGTAAAAAATATATTTTTACTTTCAAAATGTTTGTAATTTTAAACATTTCATGTGTTTATTTATGTGTAGATTTTAAACAACTCATGTTCAAAATCAAATCTTGAACATCTTGTGCGTATACTTGAACAAATTCTGGTTGAAAAATAACACTTTTCAGTAGTAGTTTTACATGCACTTTTTAGAGTGTGCATAAACGGGACCATTTTTGAATTCATGAAATGAAGAATTCATGAACTCTGTCGCATAAACGTAGTAACAGTTATCTACTACCTCTTCTAAAGCTTTTTTAGGCCTGGCGGATTTTGGATGAAGTGGTTCATTCTTTCCAACCTTCGGGATGAAGCAAACTTCGCTCTTCTCCACGCATCTGGTATATAGCCCAATGCTATGCTGCTTCTAACTATTTTTAATAGCGGTCCAATTACGCATTCTAAGCCCTGCTGTAGCATGCCAGGGAATATGCGATCCGCTCACGGTGACTTCAGTGGTTTGAAGGTGTTCACCGCCCACCTGAGCTGGGGCTCGGATCATATTTTTTTGCCACTAACCAGTTTCCTCTACTTATTTTACGTCAATGCTCGGTCCGATCTGTTTCGGACGAAATACAGTTGTTTTTGGCATTACCTTATAGAGTCTTGTAGCCTCCGTAGTATCTTCTATGCTTTCACAGAAGTTCCTAAAACTTAAACGCTTAGTTTCCCTTATTTCTTTGTTGTACAGAGTTAAGGTGTTTCTGTATTCCGACCACTCCCCGGTTCGTTTTACTCGATTGAAAATTTCCGGACTTTGGTTCTGAGTTTACTTAAGTTGTTGTTCCACCAGGGTACATCCCTGGAGGAACGTACCTTACTTATAGGACAACTGTCTTCATATGCGTCAATGTGTAATTCAATAAAGCGCTCTGTACTAGTTCTATTTCATTCGTGATCTTCTGACCCAGCCCAGGTTGGGCTACGTTCAACCTCAGGTTGTGTTTGAAGTTCTCCCAGTCTGTCTTCCTGGGATTCCTGAAAACTCTATGTATAGGAGGGGTTAATTGGATACTCTCCACCCTTTCACCAGCGCTTTCGTTTGGTTATTTCCTATGGTTATATCAAGGACCGCTTCCGTCGCGCGGGTCACAAAAGTTGGTATATTCCCAATATTAAAGATTTCTGATTTATTTCGAAGGATAGATTCAAGAAGGTACTCACTCCTTTCGTTGGTGTCACTGCTCCCCCATGCCTCGCTATGCGCATTTGCATCATACCCGAGTATCAGGGGTAGCCTCCTAGTTTCGCAGTCTTTCACCAGTTTATTGACAAGCTCTGGTGGGGCGTACGTGTCATCTCCTGGGAAGTAGCCCGAAGCAGCTACGATGTCCTGGATAGTCCCGTTGATGTTGACTGGGACTTGGACCGCTACTAGATCCCTCGACAGGAAATCTGAAAGACATATATGTTTCAAGCTATTAGTTATTAACAAGCACGCCCTAGGATTTGTGCACCTAGTATCCCAAATTACCTGCCTGTTTTCTACTGACAAGCCTCCTATTTGGCTCCTGACGACCCTGGGCTCTTGTACCAGCACTATTCCCAGTGTAAACCTGAGGGCTGCCCTAGCGATAACCGCAGACGCGGCCCTCGCATGATGTAGGCTTATTTGTGCAACCTTAGTGCTGGTCATCGTCGCAGCTGATGGCGTTCTTCATCTTCGTCCGTTGTCAGGTGGCTCTCTCCGAGTCGTCATCAGCACAAATAGTCAGTAGCCCGAGTTCAAAGTCGTCAATACCCTCCATCTCATGAGGCAGAAGACTGACTTCCTCTACTACCGCGCTTCGGGCTGCTTCCACAGCTACCATCTCAGCCACCTTCTTCGGTATTTCAGGAATACCCGGTGGAGTTTCTGGCTTGACTGTCTTCGCCTTCGTCGGTTCCTTGCCCTTGTGCACATGCACTGGAACACTACCTAACGTGTATCGTAGGAAGCAGTTTTCTTTTTGATATCTTCCAATCTTCGGGTCGTCTATCCCGATCGTTAGCAGTTTGCCGGTCTTCTCATCATTGCTCCTATAAATCTTCCATAGGTGGGTATGCATTCCCTTATTTTGAGCTATATAGGGGTTCAAAAGTTTCTGCGTGTCCTCTCCTGCAGCTTTTGGTAGGTACGTAGTGATTACGTGCACCCTGGGTATGTTGTCCCCATCGCACGTTGTCAGTTCCGCACCCTATCAATAGAGCAGTTTTGGGACAATTTCGCGCAGCTCGGCTCGGCATTCGGCTGATTCTGCATCCAAGCAGTCGACCAGTATAAGGTCTGGCCGAAAGTGGATGTCGTCGAATTTGAGTATTGACCTTCAACCCTTACCCATCTACTCCACAATGGCGTCCTCAATCTTTCCCTGATCCTCACGAGTGAGTGTACTATCAGGGAAAGCCTTCGGCAGAACTGCAAGTCTAATGCGCTTAGTGGCGCTAGACTTTCCTTCCGTTGCATAGTGCCTGCTTCTGTCTGTTGACTTGGTCCAAAATTCTGAAACTGCCAAAAGAATGAGAATGAAGAATACTTTTTAAAAAGCTTTAGAAANACTTTCCTTCCGTTGCGTAGTGCCTGCTTCTGTCTGTTGACTTGGTCCAAAATTCTGAAACTGCCAAAAGAATGAGAATGAAGNGTGTATCGTAGGAAGCAGTTTTCTTTTTGATATCTTCCAACGACCGGTCGTCTATCCCGATCGTTAGCAGTTTGCCGGTCTTCTCATCATTGCTCCTATAAATCTTCCATAGGTGGGTATGCATTCCCTTATTTTGAGCTATATAGGGGTTCAAAAGTTTCTGCGTGTCCTCTCCTGCAGCTTTTGGTAGGTACGTAGTGATTACGTGCACCCTGGGTATGTTGTCCCCATCGCACGTTGTCAGTTCCGCACCCTATCAATAGAGCAGTTTTGGGACAATTTCGCGCAGCTCGGCTCGGCATTCGGCTGATTCTGCATCCAAGCAGTCGACCAGTATAAGGTCTGGCCGAAAGTGGATGTCGTCGAATTTGAGTATTGACCTTCAACCCTTACCCATCTACTCCACAATGGCGTCCTCAATCTTTCCCTGATCCTCACGAGTGAGTGTACTATCAGGGAAAGCCTTCGGCAGAACTGCAAGTCTAATGCGCTTAGTGGCGCTAGACTTTCCTTCCGTTGCATAGTGCCTGCTTCTGTCTGTTGACTTGGTCCAAAATTCTGAAACTGCCAAAAGAATGAGAATGAAGAATACTTTTTAAAAAGCTTTAGAAAAACCTGACACATCTACACCCCGCGACAAAAGATAGCACAGCAATATTTTTACCAGTTTGACTACGTTTCTTTTGCTTTTTTAAGGTTCATTATTTTTATATAAAAGTATAGCTGTCTCGAAGAGAACCTCGGCCAAACACTAACATGTGTGTAAGCACCAATCTATTATTATTATTATTATAGCTCTCTATCTAACAACTACATCTAAATTTCAAACATTGTACAAAATTTATATAAATTCAACAAACTTTTCATCCCAATTCCATGCATTTTAAATTCTGCAATAATTTTTGGTATGTAGTTTTATAGCTTTTTAAATTAAGTATAGTAGTATACTAAAGTGCAAGTTTTAAGTTGATAAAAACTCGCGTTGATTTTTGATAATTTTTTTCTACTGACGGTATCACGCATTTCTTTCCATACAAAGTAATTTTTTATATGTGCATAACACCGTCAGCAAAAAAATTATCAAAAATCAACGCGATTTTTTAGAAACTGAAAACTTGCACTTTATTATACTACTATACTTAATNGTATCACGCATTTCTTTCCATACAAAGTAATTTTTTATATGTGCATAACACCGTCAGCAAAAAAATTATCAAAAATCAACGCGATTTTTTAGAAACTGAAAACTTGCACTTTATTATACTACTATACTTAATTTAAAAAGCTATAAAACTGCATACCAAAAATTATTCTAGAAATTATAATGTTTGGAATTGGGATCAATAGTTTTTGGAATTTTTAGATTTTTTGCACAAAGTCTGAAATTTAGACTTATATGGTATTTGTTAGATAAAGAGCTATACTTTTATATAAAAATAATGAACCTTAAAAAAGCAAAGCAATCTTTTGTGACGGGGTGTACATCTGGTTTGGCTTTTAAGCGCTATTTAAACAACGATCTCGCCATTATGCTAGATTCTTCAAGTGAAGATGAAAGTCAGGCGGATACATCAGACATCTTCAGCCCCCATGCAATTCTCATTAATTTTTATTAAATATAATAGGGGTATTCACGATCCGGTACATACGGTGCATAGATAGCATAAATAGCATGATTGGTTAATTTCGTTGTTGTTTCATGTGTTCAAACAACAACAAAATTTCATGTGTTCAAACAACAACAAAATTAGCCAATCATGCTATCTATGCACCATGCTACGCAGTACGCACCGGATCGTGAATACCCTTAATGTTCCAATTTTTAAATTCAAGTATTAAATAAAATAAGCATTATTAAAAATAAACTTCATTTACTTACCTAATTGTTTCTTAAAACCACCGAACTCGAAAAAAAGGGGCAATCAAAAGGCGACATTTTTTGGTAGAAACCAAATCAACATAAGACAAAGGACGGGAATCCTTTCTGTCAAAGGATATCCAGATTATTTGGGGAGTCATGTTTGTCGTACTTTTGTCTAAGACATGATCGTAAATGCTTTCTGTTTGATGAAAATGCTCGAAAATAAATTTTTAATTAATTCTGGGAGATATCGTCGGACCAGAAGAAGCAATGCGTTTGTGGTCTCAATAATTTTATTCCAAGGAAGCGACAGACATCTAATATTTATATAAATGTTATATACTATCCCTTTATTTTTACTTGTTTTGTTCATAACTCAAAGTAACTACTAACTTGCTTTGATATGGAAACAAAATATATTGGATTTAACATGAATTCATAAAGCCCTAACATTTATTTCATAACTTTGTATTCACAAAGGCCCTAACTGAGAGAAATTCTGAACTTAAAACTTAACATTTTTTTATCTAGATTTGCATTTTGGAAATAGAAGAAAATAGTGTTATCGCTTTTTTCCAAAACGGTAGTAGAAAGGTACTAAAAAAATACGCAATGTATAAAATTAGAAGTAAAACGTGTATTATTAATTATATGTGAATTTGCAATATATTTGGTGTTTTAATGGAAATACTAATCAAAACGTAAAAATATGCATTTTTAATTTAAGTTATTCGCCATTTTTTTAATAATAATAATAATAATAATATCCCAACGGTTTTTACCCTCCATTCCCGCCCATCCGCACGAGGGGCGCAGTCCGCATGACGTACGGAACCAATATTTTAAATTTTTGTGCCGAGTCACGATAGGCAGGAGTTTGTTAAGTGTCGAGATCTAAAACTGTTCAGCTACAGAACTAAAT